TGTCAAGTGATAGTAAGGAGGAAGCTAGATGTGGGATTAGGTTAGGCATACTTGTAACTTAATTCAGGTCACCATGATGTCTGTGTTCCCCAGACACAGGCACCCATTCTCAGTGCTATCTTCTTCTCACTGTCAGTGGGAAGATTTCTGCTTTACACTTTGTGATGGGCAAACTCTAAGATGGCTCCTGTTATGCATTTAAATGTGTCCCTCCCCCCCAAAATTTATGTTGTAAATCCTAACCCTTATACCTGTGTTTATAATCCCATTTGGGAATGGGTTTTCTTCGAATCATTAATGAGGCAGACTTAGTGTAGGGTGTGCTTTAAATCAATCTCTTGAGGTATTAAAAAGAGCAGACTGAGCAAGCACAGACACAGATGAGATCTCCAAGGAACCAAGAAATGAGCTAAAAAGAGACAAGGGCCTTCCTCCAGAGAGAAGTGTAAGTGTAAGTGCTGTGCCAGGGGGAGGGATGGGGCAGGATAGCACAGAGGAGGGACACCCATCTCAACTAAGCAAGGTTTCCCAGAGGAAATACAGTCTATGCTGACATGTGAGGGATATGTGGGAATGATAAATGTGAATCCTTGTGGTGAGGATGAGACTGTGCTACAGTTGGAGGACTAAGCCCAAGAGGTGAGAGAAGCACAGTGTATTGAGGGAACTAAACATATTCAGGGTGGTTGTAGTATAGAGGATGCAGGTGTAGGGGTGTAGGGCAGCAAGGGAAGCTAAGATGAGGTGGGTGAGCTAAGAGGGCCTGCATTGTCCTGACCTTACTGAGGATTGTGCCTGGCCTTCTCAAGAGCATTGGAGAGCTCACCAAAGGGCTCTAAGTTGGAGAGCAACCAGAGCAGAGAATCCAGGAAGGAAAGAGGACTGGAGAGGGGCAATGGCAGAGGAGCAGGAGTGTTAGGAGTTTCCAGATGAGAGATGGTGGTGGCCTGGGTGGGGGATGGCTGGGATGGACCTCAAGGGACGTTTGGATGGAGAAGCAAATGGACTTGGAGATTTGACTAGATGTGAAGAATGAGGGAAAAGGGGGAGTCAAGGCTGACTTCCACGTTCCTGGGTGGGGCAATGACAAGATGTGCTGGGAGGACAAGATGAAAACAGTGGAGGAGAAGCAGGCTGGGGTTTGGGAAGACGGTAAGCTCAGTTTAGGATAAGAAGAAGCTGAGAAGCAAGCTTCTTGAGGACAAGGATCTTCTCAGCCTTGTTTATTCCCCTATACCTGATGCATGGGACAGTGTTGTACACACTGTAAATAAATATTTGTTCAATGCATGCATGAATGAAAGATTGTATTATATGCATGTGGTGAAGTCTAGGAGGTAGCTTTGATGCTCAGGAGCTAGAACTAGGTTGAGATTAATGTGAGTAGCATTCACGTCTAGCAGTAAATGAAGTGGAAAAAAAAATGTGCATGAGATCCCCAGGGTGTGTAAGAGGAATTTGAAAGGGGCTCATTTGGGGAGCATAATTGTTTGATGTGGTTCACCAGCCTGACCTTAATTATGTTCTTTTCTTCTTTGGCTCCTTAACTCTTCTGCTGCTTCTCCTACCTCATTAGGCTCACCTTTGTTCTCTGGTGGCATAGTGACTAAGGCATTTGACTGCTAACCAGAAAGCTGGTGGTTCAAACCCACCAGCCACTCCTGGGAAGGAAGACTGACACTCTACTTCTGTAGAGATACCGCCTCGGAAACCCGAGGAAGGGTCACTATGAGTTGGAACCGACTTGACGGCAGTGAGCTTTTTTTTTGTTGTTGTTGTTCTCCTTAAAAGCCCTGGTGGCACAGCAATTAAAATGTTTGGCTGCTAACCAGAAATTCTGTGGGAGAAAGATGTGAAAATCTGTTCCCGTAAAGGTTTACAGCTGTCCTACAGGGTCACTGAGTTAGAATCAACTTGACAGCAATGTTTTTTTTTTTTTTTTCTTTCATTTTGTTCTCCTTTGCTGTGTCTTCTTCCTTTTACTGCCCAGCCTCCCAACTGTGGGCACTCGCTTAGGCCCTCTTCTCTTTCTCTCTGCTGTGTCTGCTTCTCCAGCTAGATCTTATTTCCAGGCTCAAATTGCAGATGCCCACTGGGCACTGATAACTGGACTGCCTAGTGGCACCTCGAAACAACACACCCTTACTGAGCTAGTCACCTCCTCCCCAAACCAGCTCCTCCTGATATCACTCTCTCCATCACTCCTCTTGCTTATAATAAGGAGGAACTCCATAGAACTTTGTTGATTTGAGTTTTGAATTAGTAGTTTTGTACTGATTGGATCTTCCTTGTTATCAAAACTTGAGTCAGCCAAGCAAGAAAATGTCTCCAATTGTTTCCCTTGAGCCTGGTGTCTTAAAGGCAGAGCCAACACTTTCTTGGTGGAATAGCAAATGAGCCAGTAACCTTGAGATGAAAAAAAAAACCACACACACACACACACACACAAAACCAAACTCACTGCCATGAGTTGATTCCAACTCATAGCAACCCCTACCAGGTTTCTAAGGTGGTAAATTTTTACAGAAGTTCATTGCACCATCTTCCTTCTGTGGAGTAGCTGGTGGGTGTGAACAACCAGCCTTCTGGTTAGCAGTCAAATGCTTGAGGCACTATGCCACCAGGGCTTCCATCTGTTTCTTGGCTCAGTCAGTGTTCTTTGGAATAATGGCATTTTTTTTTTTTTTAAACTTAAATGTAGAGTATACCTGCCAAGGGAATAATATGGAGATTCTTATTGACTATAGATCCCCCACCCATGCTTCTAGTGAACTCAGGAACTCATCTAAGACATAGCTACAATTCTACTTGAAAAATGTGTGATTTCCTAGTTTGAGATATCGGCCTTCATTCTGGAATATCAGAGCTAGAAAGGACCTCAGAAATAATCTAATCCATTCAACTGAATTTATGAATGAAGAAATGGTGGTCCAGGGAGACTTTTACTAAGAAATTAAAACTCACTTCGATGGATGAGGAATCACACTTTCTCTGGAAACACATCACTTTTTCTCTATGCTTCTTAACCAGAAAACCAGTCGCCGTTGAGTCGACCCTGACTTGTGGCAATATGCGTGTCCAAGTATGTTTCCACAGGGTTTTCAATAGCTGATTTTTTGGAATTGGGTTGCCAGGCCTTCTTTTGAGGCACTTTTGCATGGACTTGAGCTTTCAACCTTTCGAGTAGCAGCCGAGCATGCTGACAGTTTGTAACAGTGAGGGACTCCTGAGGATGAATGCATACTCCTTAAATAAATATACTTCTTTTTCTTTTTCCTGCTCTTTCTCTAGTCTGTTCTCTTTAATGCTTGGCCACTCTTTTCAACCTCTTTCTCAGTTCTCTCTCTCTGCTTTATCAGAGGGCTTAAAAAAAAAAAAAAAAAGAAAAAGAAAACTAATGTTAACACTAAGGAACGCTGGTGAGTTCGTGGGTAAGACATTTGGCTGCTAACCACAAGGTTGCCAGTTCAAGCCCACCAGCTACTCTGTGGGAGGAAGACGAGATGATCTACTTCCATAAAGGTTTACAGCCTTGGAAACCAAATGGGGGTCACTATCATTTGGATAGTGGAGAATCAGCAAAAAAGCGGGGAGGCCCTCAACAAGATGGATTGACACAGTGGCTGCAATGATAGGCTTAGGTATAGCAGGGATCGTGGGGCTGGCACAGGACCAGGCAGTGGTAGATTGCCCAATCTTCCTTCCTAGGAGTGGCTGGTGGGTTTGAACCGCCAGCCTTCTAGTTAGCAGTCAAGTGCCTTAGGCACTA